ATCATTAACTGAACTCCAAAATGTAGCAATATCCATACAAAATTCAAATAAAAAATTTTGAAAAATCTAAAAATCCAATACATTTAAAAAAATAAAGAACTACCACAAGCCCTTCCATCTTCCACACCAACATCCTTAAATGCATCTCTCCACACTACATCCACCAGGGGCATTCCCATTTCCCCCACTAGTAGTAGATGCCATTCTTTTCAAAATCAAAGCAAACTCCTTGGTACTGTATTTATTGTTTTTCATCTCTGTAACAAGTTGACTAGAAGACTCTGGGAGCTTCAGGTGATCAGGGACTTTTTCAGAGTTCACTTGATTGAGGATCTTCACGAAATCCTTGACCACCCTCTGCTACAAGAACAACAGAAACAAAGTTTTAGCTTTGTTATGCAGTAAACTCCCAGCATCAAAATGTTACATTAAGTGAGGCATTGACATAAAACAAAATAGTATGAGAAAATACAAAAGTAAATAAATGTAAAACTCTACCCCTGGATCATCAGTTCTACCAAGAAGCTTTGGCCCCAACCGTCTTCCTAGATAATCTGAGAAATGGAAGAAGGCAATAAACTGAGACCATAAGTTTCGTCAAATGCACTAATAAGTAAATATCTTCATATATGATGGAAGACTAGCACTGATACAATTAGATTGAAACGGGGGAAACATAAGACATGAGAGAAGGCAGGAGTGTGCATCACCAAAGCATAAAAGCACCACACTAACAGTTAGGACACAGACACCCACCAACTTATTCTCCCTCAGTCTTCCACATGTTCACCAACATTATATGTCGCACACCATAATTATAACAATGTTAAAACAGTGAACCGATAATTGGAGTTCAAGATACACAGATAGACAAAATAATACTGATAAAATAATTATGAGAATAAACACAAGGATCATGCACCACATTTTCATCAAAACTAATGCTCACGACAAATATGGAATTAATCCATCTCCCTCAAATCTATGTAAGAAGAAAAGGCTTACCCATGTCATTGCAATCTGGGCCGATTCTTTAATAACATCCTCGAGTTGGCCAGTGAGATATAGATCACCTTTTCCCACCACTGCAGTCGCTTCAACAAATTGAACCTCTCCACCACTGCAGTGGCAACTCGTTCGACAGTCTCTCTGCCATCATATCTTGGGGGCTGCAGTTCCACCATACAGAATATACATCATATCAGAAATGAACACAACATACGAAAAGAACGAGGCATAAAAAATCTTATATAGTTCCCTGTATGTCCAAGCAGCTTTTGCCCAAAATAATCAAGGTTTCTCAATTTTATTTGTAGGTTCATAACTTTAAAGGAAATACTACTTAGCCCCAGTACTTTCTCCAACATGGCTTCATCCACAACCAAAGGTGACGTGATCCTCAATGCCTGTGAGATATCATGATTGTTAACACCCATGGGGATGATTTCCATTTCCACTTCAGCCCCATCAGCAAGTCTGCTCTCCAACAAAGGCGAGGCAAACTGGTGGACATCTTTGCTAAGTAGCACGTCATGTTCTTGTTCTGCAACTCTAACAACTGCTGCACAAGCTATGGCAGCCAAGTTTCTCTCCAGATTATGGACACCAGCTTCTCTAGTGTACCTTTGGACGATAAGTTTCACCGTACCCTACCACAAAAGAAAGGCCCACATCACATGTATAAGGACCATCTTTTTTGGTCACCTTAACATTTTTCAGTGACCAAGATTAACGGTTGATAAGTATCAAGCGAATTGCAAATTGACCTCATATTTGAGTTTGATAGGGAAAAGGTTCAATGAAAAATAGGTGGGCAATAAATGTGCATAAATATATTCTTTACGTAGAGTAAAAATATAAAACTAAATTAAGAAGACTTAAGGACAAATTACAACAAATACATGACAAAGTATCGAAAATTCCACAGCATATTTTATTTACATATTGCGATACGTACAAACTTAATATCCAGAGCAGGTTTACTCGACACAGATTAAATAAACAAGAAGAAAACATGACGACCCAGCATCATTAGTATGATACTAAAGTTAAAAATTGCAGAACCAGGTTAACTAAAAGCTTGAGTTATTAGGGAGGAGCCACATGTATTAATACAAATTTTGGAATAAACAAGAATAGTACCTCAGAAAGGAAAAAAATTGAAAAAAAAGGTCATACTGATCTGGAAATTTTGTAAAAATACGTCACCAGCTGAAGAAATTATCACACAGAAAGCAAAAGCATGCATATCTAGTATTCCACGGTCAATCTATCAGGTATAATGCGTGAAGCAATCAGCAGTCACTTGCACAATCACACGTCTAAAGACATACTGATAATTCAAACTAAATAAATGTGAGACAAATGATAAAAAAATTAAATTCAATACCTCAGGAATTTGAAGGAAATCAAAATTCAAGCCATGCTGATCTAGTACTCGTGGAATTAAATGCCTCATTGCTATATTGAGCTTTTCTTCAGGTATATAGCCAGGCAGCTCGATGACTTCCATCCTGTCTAAGAGTGGTGGTGGAATAGGCTGCAGTCTATTGGCAGTGGCCACAAAAATCACCTTCACCCCCTTCCTCCAACGTCAAATGCAAGACAATCAAGATGTTCCTATCCTATCCTATCCAATCCATTATCCCAAAATTTCAGTCTTTCTGGCTTAAATTTCTCTATAATCCTAACATTTTTTACCAGTTATACGCTGCTTCATAAATTGTAAAATCTCAACCTCATCGAGAAAATTACTTAATCCCCGAACGAGACTAAATAATTAATATAATAAATGTTAGCCCCTGCTTGGTGCACATTTTTGCCCCAATAATGCATTTTTTTGGTTGATATGAAGGGGAATATGTGGTTGAAAAAGAATGAAAAGTTATTGATGTGACGAAAAATATTATTTTATTGAAGAATGTGTGGTTGAAAATGAGTAGAAGAATGAGAATAAAAAAAATAATATAGTTCAAACAGGGAATTAATAATTAAAAAATAAATAAAAATCATCTCACAAAAATCCTCTCCATTCAATTCTTGAATTGCACCTGGCTACCTCCATTTACAATTACAATCCAATCAAAACTCTAAAGACACTGCAACACACACACAAACAGATATATAGAGAGAAAGAGAGTATAACCATGAAAGTTGGGATTGTCGACCCGATAAACATTATCTAAGGATCGATTAGATAAATTAGTAGTAGCCCCTTTCCTCATAACTTTTCTTCTATTTTTATGCTTCTTCCTCTTCTTCTTCGAAACTCGAAAATCACCTCCTACACAATTCTCATGCCGAGACACACAGACCCCCATCTATATTTACCTATCTTCAAATCTCCTCCTCAATACATGAAAACTAAAGTACTCTCGAAAAGCCCTCATTTTTTCGACAAAAAATTCTTTGTTCAACAAAAGCAATAAGAATCGAAATGCCCAACATAAGAAATAAAGGGGGTGTTTGTTTCTGATTTTGAAAATTAATTCTCAATTTAATTCTTATTTTCAACCACACATTTTTCAATAAAATAATATTTTCCATCACATCAATAATTTTTTCTTCTTTTTCAACCACACATTTCCCATCAAATCACTATTTAAAAATCAATTCTTCCCCCAAAAATCCCTACCAAACAC